GCGCTTGCTCGCTGGACATGTACACGCGCGACCCGATGCACATCATCCTGGCGAGCGGAGGCACGTTTCAGGTGGAGGTGTTCTGCTTGTACAGAGCGGTGGCGCGCGTGATCCCCGACGCGCGGGATCGGTGGCGAACCGAATTCCAGCGCTGGGCTCCAGGGCGCGGCGGAGGGAAAGCCCCGCTGCATCTCTTCTCCCCAGCCAGGAAGAAAACCTGCGTCGAAGCAGGGCATGTCGTCGGCGCCGCGTCGGACTGCCTCGCCGCCCTGCCGTTCCTGAGGAATTGGCTCCATGTGGATTGCTTGCCGCGACACCCTCTCTGCCAGGCCCACGCGCGGCCCTCTGATGCCACGCATGCCGCCCTGGAACTTTACTCGGCGGCGAAACGCGGCGTTTGCCCAGACACGTCCGAGGCCGATTTCAAGCGCCACGTCGGGCTGGCGCTCAGGAAGCACGTGCGCGCCTACACGGACGCGCGGGTCGTGCCTAAGCATCACTATCTTTGGCACGCAGCCGCGCAGGCGGCGGAAGATGGGTTGATGCTCGATTGCTTTGTACTCGAGCGGAAGCACAAACTCATCAAGGACACCGCGGGACACCATGACCGCTTGGAGGCATGGACAAGGATGTGATCACCCAAGTCGTGGCCACGCACCTGCAAGAGTCCTTCGCCGCGCAACGTCAGTCGCACAAATGGTGGCCGACCCCTGAACTCGAGGGGGCCATCGGGCAGCGCGGTTGGGGCAAAATGGGCCTGGCGCACGCGCGAGCGCGCGGCTTGGCCCCGACGGGGGCGCCCCCGTGCGTTCAGGCGCGCCCCTGCGGGGCAACGCCGAGGCTCGCGCGCGCACCAGGGCCCACCCAGGCACGGCGCGCTGACTTGTCGTCGGGCTGCGGTCGGCGGCCTCGTTTACGGCAGCGGGAACGCGTGGCTCGAGGGGGGCGCCGCGTTTTACATCCACTGCGTGGCGGTGGCCGCGGGGCGCTCTTACTTGATCGTGAAGCCGCTGGACTTGGCGTCGCGGCCTGCGCCTGGGGAGTCCGCGTGGCGGCCGCGAGGAGGACCGAGGGGTGTTCACAAAGAGGGGGGGGGAGGGGAGATGGGGGAGGAGGGGGAGGGGGGACGGAAGGAGGAGGGGGAGAAGGAGAAGGGGGGGCGAGGAGGAGGGGGGGGGGCCCCCGCGCCGCCGCCCCATAGGATGCGGCGCGCTGGTTGCCGAGGGCGCCCCGCGGGTGCCTGCGGCGTACACCCGCCGAGCCGAGGACGGCTCGGTCCGCGTGTTGGTGTAAAAGGCGCGCGCGGCGGTAGACCGCCTGGCGGTGGGCCGCCTTGGGGAGGGGGGGCAATCGCGCGGCGGTAGACCGCCTGGCGGCATCCCGCCTGGGGGTAGGGGGGCGGGGGGGAGGGGGCGGGGGGGAGGGGAGAGGGGGGCGGGGAGGCAGACTGCGCGGATCGCTGGCGACGCCGACGCGCGTCTGAGACCCCTTTTGATTTCCAGACGCAAAACCAAACTTATCGGACTTATAAGTTAGATATACGTTAGTTATGCATAACCTATAAGTAAGCTAGTTTTGATGACCATGACAGATATACATATAATGATGTAACATACATGCATCATGTCACAAATGTCAACGCCATCACCAAAGTGGGACGGTCAAACAACGATTCAGGACGAAAAACCGGTCCTAAAGTGGTGCAGACCTCTGGGGCGCACGCATCGCAGAAAAATGGTGCCGTCGGATGTCTGGGCCTGCACTACTCTTCATCCTGACTGGTCTTTCAACGAGCCCAGGAGCCCAGCAATCTTTCCCGGGCCAGGGCCGGGGTCGGGGGCCGGGGCCAGGGGCCGGGAGCACGCGACCGAGGCCAGAGCCAGGACGGGGCCAAGGCCGGAGCCGGAGATGGGGGCCGGGCCCAGGCTGGGGTCGGGGCGTGGGCAGGAGCCCGGGCTGGTGCTGGGGCCAGAGCTCCCGAGCCCAGAGACCCACCAACGAGCCCATCCGTCGGGGAACTTGCCCGCCAACAAGCTCGGCAGACGGACACGACGCAAACATTCCATTCAACATACACTGCCTACGGCGACTGCCAACACCCTGATTATCCTCCTCCTCCTCCTCCTCCTCCTCCTCCTCCTCCTCCTCCTCCTCCTCCTCCTCCTCCTCCTCCTCCTCCTCCTCCTCCTCCTCCTCTCTTCCTCCTCCTCCTCCTCCTCTCTCTCCTCCTCCTCTCCTCCTCCTCCTCCTCCTCTCCTCCTCCCCTCCTCCTCCTCCTCCTCCTCCTCCTCCTCCTCCTCCTCCTCCTCCTCCTCCTCCTCCTCCTCCTCCTCTCCTCTGCCTCCTCCTTTTCCCCCTCCTCCTCCTCCTCCTCCGCCTCCTCCTTCTCCGCCTCCTCCTTCTCCCGCTCCCTCATCCTCCCTCCTGCCTCTTCGAGGCAAAACTCTCAAACTATAAAAATGGACGAGTTCGCACTCGCCCGGAGCGTCCCAGATCGGCTGCACAGGCCAGAGGCCTCTACAGTACATAACGTGGAGAGCCCGCATTGCCGACCTCCGTGACGAGGCGATCCCCGTGACGCCGCAACAGGATTCGAATAACAAAAAACATACGAGCTGTCGGAGGTCCCCGCGGATGTCTTTGGTCGGGGCTGGCGCGAAGAGCGCGCGAGGGGCGGCGCCAGAGGCGGCGCCAGGGGGCCCAACGCCGTGCATAAAAATCTGCGCGGAGCGCGGAAGTTGTGCTTATTCAATTCTGCGACCAATATCACGATGGATAATACGACTGCCACCAGTTTGATGAATATCCGCATATTCGTGACTACGCTTACAGTCGGGCCGCTGAAAAAAGGAACGCTGAATAGGGAACGAAGCCCCTCGTTGGCCCTGTCAGCGCCTCCGTGCCCCAGGAGGGCAGGAGGAACAGCACTGGAGGGACCTAAGGAACCTCGAGCCCCTTCCGAACCCAAACTGTTCCTTACTTCAGCGTCTCGACTGTGCTCGACGCGTAAAGCCTGAAACGTGCAGCGGCGGGCGCAGCCCGCGGTGCGGGGGGGAGAGCGCATGGTGCACAGGCCCTCTGCCGGACGAGCACGCCGCGCTTCGGCGGCGCGCCCAGTGGAGAGGCTGCTCGCGTCGAGTCCACGGCGAGGCGACCCCAGCGCGAGCGCTCAGGGTTCCACGCCGCTGGATGCCCAGAACTGGCGGACATCGGACGATCCACGCACTGGAAAGCCGCGATCGTTCAGAGTGGGCGGGCCTTTTCAAAAGGTTCCGATCGCTCAGAGTGGGCGGGCCTTTTCAAAAGGTTCCGAAGGCCATCGGCCTTCTGAGCCTCAGAAGGCAAAGACGGTGCCTGACATCCGCCGACTCGATTTTTCAAGCCGCGGCCATGAAGGTCCAGACCTCTTCCCTGTGGGCAGTTTTTCGCCCTAGATCTGTTCTTGATGGCCCACCAGCCTGTCGACGGGCCCCGGAGGCCGATATTATATAGATAGATAGAGAGATAGATAGATTGATAGATAGATAGATAGATAGATAGATAGATAGATATAGATATAGATATAGATATAGATATAGATATAGATATAGATATAGATATAGATATAGATATAGATATAGATATAGATATAGATATAGATATAGATATCCGCCGGTTCCCCTGTGGGGCCACCAGGCTGTAGGCGCGAGGTTCGCAGTTTCCTGTACCAGTCGTAGGTTGTAGTTTCCAGTGTTACAGTTCTGCTTCTTGCTGGTTACTGTAACTAGTTGATTGACCGCGCGAGGGGGGGGAGGCCCAAACAGGATTTTTTAGCACCCCCTGGGCGCGTTGTCTGAATTGCTGGGGGGGCTCGAAATCGACACCCCTCACGCAGATCCGCGGGGTCAGGGTCCAAAAACACAGGATTTGCCACATTTCTGAAATTCGGTGCCACCCCTCACGCAGATCCGCGGGGTCAGGGTCCAAAAACACAAGGGATTTGCCACATTTCTGAAATTCGGTGCCACCCCTCACGCAGATCCGCGGGGTCAGGGTCCAAAAACACATGGGATTTGCCACATTTCTGAAATTCGGTGCCACCCCTCACGCAGATCCGCGGGGTCAGGGTCCAAAAACACAGGGGATTTGCCACATTTCTGAAATTCGGTGCCACCCCTCACGCAGATCCGCGGGGTCAGGGTCCAAAAACACAGGGATTTGCCACATTTCTGAAATTCGGTGCCACCCCTCACGCAGATCCGCGGGGTCAGGGTCCAAAAACACAGGGGATTTGCCACATTTCTGAAATTCGGTGCCACCCCTCACGCAGATCCGCGGGGTCAGGGTCCAAAAACACAGGGGATTTGCCACATTTCTGAAATTCGGTGCCACCCCTCACGCAGATCCGCGGGGTCAGGGTCCAAAAACACATGGGATTTGCCACATTTCTGAAATTCGGTGCCACCCCTCACGCAGGGGATTTGCCACATTTCATCACGCACATCATCGCAAGGCGTGGTAACCCAAACTGCGAGTACTCCCTCGGCCCTTTAATCCCAAGGTGTGGTAACCAAGCTCGTAAACCATACACGTCTTACCAATCGCCCTGTGTGGTAACCCCTCTTGTGATCAGTTGGTTTTGCCGATTGCGAATCGGCCTCGCATGAAGTTCCGATACTGCTGCACGACAGCGCCAAAGCCTCATGACTTAGCTCTTCCATGGCCCATTCTCCGCGAGAGAGGGGGCCGGCGGCAGGGGGCGAAGCCCTTACGGATAGATAGATACAGATAGATATACAGATAATTCGAATTGTAATACGAAGAGTAGTAGTAATACTAATAATGTTAATGCGAATAATAATGATGCGAATAACAAATATAAGAAGAAGAGGAAGAAGAATATACAATATATACATACTATAAATACATATATATAGATATATCGAGATCTACTCACTTCCCCCTGGGCACGCCGCCACATGTTGACCTGCACGAGACGCCGGCGGGCAGTGGCTGCCCGCCTTCTGCAGCAGCGGCTCCAGCAGCGGGTCCAAGGCCTCGCCCACGTTCTCCAGCAGCACCGGCTTGCCGAGAGAGATCTGGCCCGGGGGGGCGAGCAGAAGACGAAGCGAGGACGAAGATAAAATCTAGGGAGCCAACAAAGGACGTACGCGCCCAGCTATGTACATGAACACGGCCCCTCGATTCGCGAGACCCGCCGCGTTATGCGAACATTTGTGCAGTGCGTGCTCTCGAAACCAGCGTGGATTCATGTACGTGTACGTCCTTGTTTCGCTCCTGAAAATCGGGTGAGAATAAATCGAGAATCTCTGGGACCTGGCGGCTCTGGAAGAGGTCTCGGGCCACGCGGTCCTCTCAGAGCGCTCCGGTCCGGAGCGCTCAAAGCGCGTGCCGGAACGCTCTGGAACAGAGTTCACGAGGGGTCAAGATTGTGCACCACCCTCATTCCCAGCAAATCTGGACTCTGAAGAAGGGGTCGGATTTAAAACGCATGCCAAGTACGGAGCATGGTAGAACCCTCCCCCAGCTCCGCTGCCCAGGAAGGGCGATTCATAGATGACCAAAGCTTCCCGTTCCCACGCCACGTCGGCCAGGAATGGATTCACCAAAACACTCATATGGTCGAGATGCGAAACGGGTCTCTGGAGAGCTGGCGACGGCCCCCAGGGGCTGGGGTCAAGAAATATCGCAGGCAGGTGAAAGGCGAAAGGCTTCCCCGAAATCGGCGGCGGCCCCCTGGGTGGGTCACCCCTTCAACTGAGCATGTTCTTAGGGTGGAGGGCCCATGGTGCAATCCATGTGGGCTTTTGCACCTCGAAGATCGCTCCGTCCTGTGGTTCGCCATTTGCAGATTCAAGCCTCGAGAATACATCGAAACGGCATTTCAGATTTCAGGAGGAGGAAGAGGAGGAGGAGGTCGAGGAGGAGGGGGAGGAGGGCTCGAGGGCTCGAGAGCCCCAAGAAGCCAAAACCAGTGACTCCCCCTTTGGTTCTTGAAAGTTGTTCGCGTTCTCGCCTTTTCCTTACGTCAAAATTAATGATGTCCCTTAGGTTTTTGATGGATTGTGGCGTTCTCCCCTTGTCAGCATTCCGACGCTCCAAGACGGCCCAAGAGGCGCCCAGCACTACCCCAAAGAGCCCAAGAGGCCCCCAAGAGAGCCCCAAGACGGCCCAAGACGGCCCAAGAGGCGCCCAAGACAGCCCAAAAAGGCTCCAAACGGGACCTAAGAGAGGATACCTGAACCGAAAAAATATCCGAACTTCCGCCCAAAGAGACCGTTAGGAGGCGCCCAAGAGGCCCAAAGAGGCCCCCAAGAGGCCAAGAGGCCCCAGTAGGGCCTCACGAGGTCCAAATGAGGCCCCAAGAGGCCCCGAAACGGCTCCCAAAAGGCTCCGAGACAGCCCGCAAGAGGCCTCCAAATCGCTTCCAACAGAAGGCCGCCGATGGGCCTCCCACAAGGTCCTAACGAACATCCAATAGGCCCCAGACCCAAAACGCAGGCACGGTGGCGAGATGGGCCGAAGGCTATTCGATCCGCCGCCCCCTGCGGTCTTGCCACATGGGTGTCTGGCATGCTAGACCCTATCGTATACGGCTTGGTTGTGGTTCCTTTCTGAAAGAACTCCCGCTGAAGCTTCGGCCGATCCCGCCGGCCACCCGGAAGGCTGCCGAAAAGGCCTGGGTGGTTGCCCAAATCACCTCCAAGACGGCCAAGATGGCCTCCAAGTTCTCCCACGATGGCCCAAGATGGTCTTCAAGACGGCCCGAGAGGGTCCAAGATGCCTCCAAGTCTGCCCAAGAAGCCTCCAAGTTTGTCCAAGACGGCCCAAGAGGCCCCCAAGAGGCCTCCAAGGCGGCCCAAGAGGCCTCCAAGAGGTCCTCCAGGAGGGCCCGAGGAGGCCAAAATCCTTGACTTCCCGTGGGTGTTTGAAGGATTGCGGCGATTGCTTCTTTTCGGCCTTCAAACGGCCTCCCGACGGCCCAAGAGGCCCCCAAGATCGTCCCCAGAGCGCCCAAGAGGCCTCCAAGATGGCCCCAGGACGGTCCTTGGAAGTCCCCAAGACGGTCCAGAGGGGGGCCCAAGAAGGCCAAAGAGGCCTCCATAACGGCCAAAATCTTCCAAAACGGCCCTGAAGCACCCCAAGAGGGCCCCAAGACGATCCAGAGAGGCCCCCAAGACCGTTCCCGACGGCGTCAGACGGCCCAGGAACGCCGTAAGACGGCCAAAGAGGCCTCGAAAAAGCCCCCCAATGCCCCCAAAAGACCAAAGCAGACCCCCAAGAGGCCGACCCCAAGAATGCCCCAAGAGGCTCCCAAGAGGTCTACTCATCCTCCTTATGTTCCTCATCCTCCTCATCCTCCTCCTCCTCCTCCTCCTCCTCCTCCTCCTCCTTCTCCTTCTCCCTTTTCCTTCTTCTCTTCATGATTCTCTTCCTCACGTGTTCCCCGAAGGATTTCAACGACGGCTGGGGGGAACACATGGTCCGATAGCTTGCCCCAGCTCTAGCCGAACTTTCGGCCACACAGGCGCTTCCAGAAAGGCGGGGGGGCGGCGGAAATTTGCCGTAAGCGTCTTCGATGCAAAATCGTTCCTCGAGACCACTTGTCGGGCTGCAGAGCCACAACTCAGAGCGTGCAGCGTTGTCTGGCGACCCCCGAACGCAGAGCAAGTAGTGGCAGGAAGGTCTACAGGAGCTAGAGTCTGTGACTGGATGCTACGATGCAATGTCAAGTGTTGCCTAACAGGCGAGCTGCCCCCCACGCCTGGCGGAAGACAACGCGAACCTACCGCGGAGAGATTGGGAGCGGGAGCAAGGAGTCATCCGCCCCGCGGGTCGCCTGTTCGGGGGGTGGAGGCGATGGACTGCTGCCTGCTGATTTGGGTAGACTTGCTACCAAAGAGTTTGCTCTGTGATGCCAAACCATAGTGAGGACAGCGACTGGACGTCCGCACCCCATGACAATAGCGACGTGCACACGAGCGCGACGCGTGCCGCAGTCAGGGCGACCGCTGCGGGGGGCTGCCCGATCGCCGCGGGTGCGCGACGGGGAAAGCCACGCGGCCGCGTGGCGCCGCCTCCGAGAGCACCACCGCCAGCTGCTGGGGTCTCAGGTGACTGAGCGCGGCCCCAACAACCTGTAGCAACGTACTGCAGCGTCGACCGCAGCGCCTCACAGAGGACGGGTGCGGTCGGCCACCCCTTGTCCAGACTCGCGCGGGCCCGACGTTGCTACTTCGGCTGGGCGGCGAAGCGCTTCATGGCGCGGATCGTGTCAGGCCCGCGGCCGCAGTGGCAGCGGTTGCACGTCGCACCGCGCACGCACGTAGCGCCGCCCCCGCTGCTGCGGCACAGCATGCACTAGCCCTTGCGGTGGTCCTTCCAGCCACGAGAGACTGGGGAAACCAAAAGACACCAATACCGCTACTCACCGAACCTCTCCCGGAGTGCGCTCTGGCCAGGATTTCCAGGCGAATCCAGCGATGGCGACGAGGGCCTCCCAGGAGGCCCAAAAAGGGGGAAAACGAGGGAAGGGTACAGGTACAGTGCGGGCGCGGCCGCAAGAAACCCTCGCAAGAAACCCAACCCTAAGAACCCGCGCGCGAGGTGCACCAGAGGGGAAAACCGGAGCACCCTGAACGCAGCAGCTCCTTCAACGGCCGCGGGAAGTCGCCGCGCAGCGAGAGGAGTCAACAGACCCAGGATACCTGGACGAAAAGCACATGATTGCTTGATGCGCGCCCCCACTGTATGGGTACCTCTTCCTCCTCTAGGGGAACAAAAAGTGGCATAAACATAAAAACTCCGAGGTCCGCGCGGATTTCTCGGATTGGCGCTGGACCCCCCTCCCTGGCGCGCCGGAGGCGCCGCCGGGGGACCCCAGCGCCGATCCGAGAAGTCCGCGCGGACCTCCGAGTTGTTATGTTTGTGTCACTGTTTGTTCCCCTATCCTCTGCGAGACGGCGTCCACCCGGGTCAGCAGGAAACTACAAACTGCAATGCAGGTCTTCGCAAATCCGGGTCACCCAATAGGCGCGGCCGCCTCGCGGCCACGAGCGGCTCGCTAACCCAAGGTCAGCCAGAGGGGGTCTTCGCAGGATCCTGCAAGATCTGGCGCTCTGCCTGATCCCCGTTTGCATTGACAAAGGGGCGGCGCCGGAGGCGCCGCCGGGAGGCCTCCAGCGCCGATCCGTGAAATCCGCGCGGACCTCCGAGTTGTTATGCTTACGTCACTTGTTGTGGCCCTATCCACCCGATGTGGTAAAACAAGACAGCCTCCACCAGAAGTGCTCTAAGAACATGCCGTGGAGACCACAAAAAGGTTCTTAGAGCATTGCTTGGTAGGGCCATAGGCGAGCCAGGACGCTTCGCCACTGCTTGAACCTCGTCCTCCTCTCGGCCACACGCAAGAGTGACCCTGGGCAAGAGTGACCTTGGGTGCGCGACTTCTTGGGGGCCGCGGGGGGGGGGGGCCAAACCTGGACGCACGAGCGGCTGCTGGTGCTTCGTCTTCGGCCACCTGGGGACCCATCTGTGCCCGCACCAAAGGTCACTCCGGCGAAAGGTCACTCTTACACCCTGCGAAATGCTTAAGAAATCATGGGTTAAGAAATTCAGAGTCTCAGAACTTGGATAAAAACCCAACATTTCCATTCAAATCTTAGGATTTACATTGAAAAGTTAAGAATAATCGAGACTCTGGCCGAAACCTTGGGTTTTCTTAAGCATCGCCTAAGGTGTAGTCGATCCTCTGCGAGACGGCGTCCACCGGGCCCGTGGGCGCGCCCACCGGAGCGTCGCCCGAGGAGCCCGCCGCGGCGGGCGCGGCGCGGAGCGCCCGCCCCGCCCCGCCCCGCCCTCCGCCCCCCGCGGCGTGCCCGGGCCAAAGGCGCGCAGGCGCCTGGCCTCAAGTCGGGCGTGTCCCCCCCTACAGGGGGACATTCGACGAAAAATAGGAGATACTCCAAAAATCATCCCCAGACTCACAGTACACTCCAAACAAAATCCCCTGACTCAAAATCCGCCGATGCGGCGTGTGAGTTTCAAGGGGTCTCAGCTACAGCCTCGAGGCTGAGCCTCAGCCTCTGGGGGGGTTGCCGGGGTGGCTCTGCCGGGGAAGGGGGGGTGTGGGGGGGGGTGCGAGTTTCCGGCGGATGCGTTTTTTGACACCCCTCACAAGGATCGTGGCCTCCGAGGGGGTTCCGAACTCGAGTACCACCCCTCCCGCACCAAGAGGCTCCGAGGAGGCCTCCAAGAGGCCCCAAGGGGCGCAGAAGAGGCCCCCAAGAAGCCCCAAGAGGCTCCCAAGAGACCCCCAAGAGGCCCTCTAGTGGCCCCAAGAGGCCCAAGAGGCCCCCAAGAAGCCCCAAGAGGCGCCCAAGAGGCCCCCAGAAGTCCCAGCCAACCACGAGATCCCAACCAGCATCCATGAGGCCTCTTACCCACCAGGCACGGTCGCGGGATAGGCCGACGGCCACTGGATAAATGCTGAGTGAGAGGAGGGGAGGGAAAAAGAGAGGAGGGACGAGGGCGAAGAAGGATCACATCAGTCGGAGCGCCCCGGATCGGCGGCACTGGCCGAAGGCCACTACAATATTCTTAAAAAACAGAAAACCACACTCAAAATATACTCAAAATATACTCAAAAAATTCCGCAGACTCAAAAAATAAAAGGTACCCCACAAATACTCCAAAATGGTCCAAACATACTCAACAAATAATCCCCGGACTTTTTTAAAACTATTTTTGAATTCTCCTCCTGTAGAGGGACAGGCGCGACTTAAGCCTGGCCACCTCCCGCGCTACCGCCGGCACGGAGCGCATGTCCTCCGTCCCTTGGCTCGACATCGCGGGCGCGGAGCGGCCGAGGTGCACGAGCACGAAACAGGAGGCAGACTCCGGAGAGGCGCGGGCGAACCTTGAGTCAAGGTGGCTACGGAGGCCAGCATCCTCCTCCTCCTCCTCCTCCTCCTCCTCCTCCTCCTCCTCCTCCTCATATCCCTTTTCCTTCTCCTCCTCCTCCTTCCTCAGCATCATCATCATCATCATCATCATCATCATCATCATCATCATCATCATCATCATCATCATCATCATCATCATCATCATCATCATCATCATGATCATCATCATCGTCATCATCAGCATCATCATCATCATCAGCAGCAGCAGCATCAGCATCAGCACAGCATCAGCATCATCATCATCATCATCATCAGCAGCAGCAGCATCATCATCAGCATCATCATAATTGTCATCATCATCAGCAGCAGCATCATGATCACCGTCATCATCATCATCATCATCATCATCATCATCATCATAATCATCATCATCAGCAGCAGCACCATCCTCCTCCTCCTCCTCCTCATCATCATCATAAGCATCAGCATCAGCATCATCCTCATCATCATCATCATCATCATCATCAGCATCATCATCAACATCATCATCATCAGCACCAGCATCATCATCATCAGCATCATCATCATCGTCGTCATCATCATGATCATCATCGCCATCATCATCATCATCATCGTCAACATCGCCATCATCATCAGCATAATCCTCATCATCAGCAGCAGCATCAGCAGCATCAGCATCAGCAGCAGCATCATCATAATCATCTTCATCAGCATCATCATAAGCAGCAGCAGCAGCATCATGATTAGCATCATCAGCATTTTCATCAGCATCATCATCAGCATCATCATCCCCCTCGACCTTCAGCTGATGCTCCCCCACCTCCTCCCCATCCTTTCCCGCATCGCCGTGCTCCTGCAACCTCCTACCGTCCCCCGTTCTCGTTGCCCTCCTCCTCCTCCTACTCCTCCTCCTCCTCCTCCTCCGCCTCCTCCTCCTCCTCCACCTCCTCTTATTCCTCTACTTGTTCTTCTTATCAGTAATACTCCTCGTCCGCCTCCTCCTCCTCCTCCTCCCTTTCCTTTCCTTTCCCCCTTCCCCCCCCCTCTCATTCTCGCTACGACGACGACGATTCACTCCGGCGACAACGCCGACAACGACCGACGACGACAACAACGACGACTCTATATCTCCGACGACCGACGGCCGACGGTCGACGATGGACGGCGGACGACCGACGACGCGGACGACCGACGACGACGACGACGACGACGACGACGACGACGACGACGA